CTTGATCACGCAGGCATCACACTTTCCAGACACCCGAGGAGCTAGATTTGACAAGGCTAATGGTGTCTCCAGAGAATGTGAGCCTTGTTTCCATCCTGGTCACCAGGGACCTTGCCTGAGAATATTTTCTGGTGGTGTTTCTTGGTTGAGGTCCAACACGGTGCACTGAAAAGTGTGATGATTCTCGTGAATGGTGAATCTTATGTTTAGGGTATGAATACAAACTGCATGTTCTTTTTGTATGTTATTTTTTTAATTTATTTTTATTTCAACAAGTGTTTGGGGAACAGGTGGTGTTTGGTTACATGAATAAGTTCTTTAGAGGTGATTTCTGAAACGTGGTGTACCCATCGCCCAGGCAGTGTACACAGTACCCAGTGTGTCGTCTTTTATCCCTCACTCCTCTCCTACCCTTTCCCCCGTGTCCCCAAAGTCCATTGTGTCATTCTTAAGCCGCTGCATCCTCATAGCATGAGAACATACGGTTTGGTTTTCCATTCCTGAGTTACTTTACTTAGAGTAATGGTCTCCAGTCCCATGCAGGTTGCTGTGAATGCCATCGTTTCATTCCTTTTTATGGCTAGTAGTGTTCTGTGGTGTATATACACCACATTTTCTTATCCACTCATTGATTGATGGGCTTTGGAGCTGGTTCCATGTTTACGTAACTGCAAATTGTGCTGCTATAAACATGCGTGTGCAAATACTTTTTCAAATAGTCACTTCTTTTCTTCTGGGTAGATGCCTAGTGGTGGGATTGCTGGATCAAATGGTAGATCTACTTTTAGTTCTTGGAGGAATCTCCGCACTTTTCCACAGTGGAGCATGGAAAATGCTTTCCGTCACAGCGCATTTTCACAGATAACTTGTTTCTGCTTTTTATCCCCTCTAGAGGGAAAATCTCAATGGGTTGTACTGGTTTCTGTTCCCACCAGCAGTGTAAGTGTTCCCTTTTCACCACATCCGTGCCAACATCTATTATTTGCTTATTTATTTATTTTGTTATGGCCATTCTTGCAGGAGTGAGGTAGTATCACATTGTGGTTTTGATTTTTAAAACAGGAATTTTAAGGTGGATCACGAGGTCAGGAGTTCGAGACCAGCCTGACTAACATGGTAAAACCCCATCTCTACTAAAAACACAAAAATTGACTGGGGCATGGTGGCGCGCACCTGTGATCCCAGCACTTTGGGAGACCGAGGCAGGCGGATCATGAGGTCACGAGTTCAAGACCAGCCTGAGCAACATGGTGAAACCCCATCTCTACTAAAAATACAAAAATTAGCTGGGCATGTTGGCGTGCTCCTGTAAGCCTAGCTACTCAGGAGGCTGAGGCAGGAGAATCACTCAAACCCGGGAGACGGAGATTGTGGTGAGCCAAGATCACACCGCTGCATTCCAGCCTGGGCGACAGAGTGAGACTTCGTCACAGTGATTCATGCCTGTAATCCCAACACTTTGGGAGATGAGGTGGGAGGATCACTTGAGCTGGGGAGGTTGAGGCTGCAGTGAACCGTGATCATGCCAGTTTACTCCAGCCTGGGCA